AAACATGTAATTCAAGCTGAATCAAAGTTTATAGAGAATCAAACTAATTGTAAGATAACGGAGTTAAGTAAGAAGTAGGAAGTCCAAAAAGTACTATAGGGTGGGCTCCGCAACTACAATTTATAGCTACGATTTACTAAACCTGATCTGGTGCGATCTTACTTTCTTCCACCCTCCGCTTTCGTCCCTACTCTTTTTTACTTATTGCTTTTAGTCAGGCAAGTCTCTTCATTTTTAGTAACAAGTAACGGCGAGATATATACAGACGTTTTGGCGCCGGAAGCGAGGCGACGCGACGTCTCGACGATGTTGAATCCAGATCTTGGCCGCTATGCACTGCGCCATTTATATGGATCTCGCTTTCATTTTTATCTTTTTTTTCGCGACATGGATATTCCGCATCGTCGATCGCAAAAGGACTCGTTAAGGAAAAGTCAATTACTTAACAAACCTTGGCATCCTTTCGATTTTAATCCATTCAAGATATAACGATATAAAGTCTCATGTAAATTTATTTAGAAAATTAAATCAATTCCATAGTTTAACCCTTTGTTATATACATATGTAGCAATTCGATGAACTAAATATTATTGATTTATTGATTTTATAAAGAACGAATTGTAGAATGAACGTATAATATGAGGTGTGGCATTCAACTATAAAAAGTGACTAACTAAACCGTTCTCTCTATACTACATCGTACAAAAAATTTTACTACAAAACATGTTTATTTTTTTCATTCTTTTTACGGACTGTGTACACTGTTGATAATATAATGCCTGCGTTCTCTCAGTTGCATTATGTTGAATGAAAATAATGAAAGACGTAGGTTTTTATCGTGCTATATATATGGCTACAGTTCATATTTTTAATATAAAATTTGATAAAATAAAATACAAATAAAAATTTTTATAATCTGCAAAATCTCAAAAATAATAAGTTTTATTTTTCAAATTTCGAGAGAGAAAATAATTGCTAACGCAATTTTCAGTATTCCAAACATTTTTAATGAAACTCGAATTGTGCTTTTTTTTCCTTTCTTTTATTTATTATAAATAAATTGCATCATATTATATTTATGACAAATTGCAATCACTGAATTAATTATTTGTCAATTAAATAAGTATGTTTCCCTTTAAACTTTCATGTTCTTGAAAAGAAACACATACCGCGCAATACTTTCTTTTCGATCAGTTAGAATACAAAATATAATATCAAAGTAATTAAATAGCAGCGAAATGAAATTATTCGCAATTTTATTGTCATTTAAAAATCAAGCTATTATATCTTAGGATAAAATGTAATACAATACATATATAAAATGTAATGCGCTATTGTACACAAATTTATGCTGGCTATATCAAATATCAAATAGAAAAGATAAAACGTGTATTATTCAAAATTCGAAAAACGAAACGTGGATGATGCTAATTTACGAAACAGTAACGAAAGATCGGTTATCATTGAATTCGGAATGTTTTTATGGGATTGGTGACCGGGTTTTTGCTCAGTCCACTAGTTAATAGAATATTGTCTGCTATCTTCCTTTTCCTTTTTTCTTTCTTTTAAATTTAGACAAACTCTGATTTGTATCTTCTTTTATATCAATATGTATTGTTTTTTTTTAATATGTTGACAGTTTTATTGAACTTTTCTTCAACCTCGGTATTGTACATTGCAATTCATTTTTATTTAATCGATCGATCTTGATACACGTATAACGTAATACGTAATGTGAATTTATTATAGTGATATATATGTATATATTATCAAATTTTTTGTTAAAATTTATTAAATGCCTATTTCTCATATCTTACATACAATTACACACACACACACACACACACACACACACACACACACACACACACACACACACACACACACACACACACACACACACACACACACAAACGCACACACACACAAACGCACACACACAAACGCACGCACGCACGCACGCACGCACGCACACCAAACGTATCATAAGAAAAAAGAACAAAAAGTACACCTATGCGTAAGAAAAAGTAGATGTGCCAAATGAAAAGAAAAATAAGTTTAAAATGTAATATTGTAGATAAATACAGTTTTATACAGTGATAGATCAAAATGATAGAGTAATAACCTTGTCTTTGTGCATCGTTTTCATGTTTTATCACAGATTATTTGTTGGAACGCAATAGACTTTTTTTTAATGTTAGCTTATAGAAATGTAGACAAAGTAGCGTTGACAGAGAGATAAAATAATCCATGCGATATATGATGTGAAGTAAAAGTTTGAAAATGTGAAATTTGAGATTTTACGAACTCGGAGAGGCAGATTATTCTTCCGCTAGTAATGCCGCTTTTGTTTGAATGCGACCAATTCGTACATTTTTAATCTTTTTAAATAACGCTATGATTTTTAAATTCTTGAATAATTTAAATATTTTGAATTAACTTTTCAGTGTTTTCTGTGTATTTTGAATCTCAGTGTACAAAATCTTTTTATTTTATTTTATTACTTTTTATAATTTGTTTCATCATGGAAAGTCTCGGAAGAATCCACATCTATTTTAGCTGAAGCGGAATGGAACGTGTACCTAGATTCGCATTCTCTCTGTATACTTGTAGAAACTTTTAATTACATCATACTCGAAAGGTCTTCTCGTTAATTTAATGAGAAACTCTCGCAAATGTATTGTCCTCTACAAGATAAACAACAAGTTGCAGTAAATTACACAGTAAGTTAAAAATTTAGTCAATTCAAACTTTTATCGGTTAACGTTCTATCGGTTGTGCAATCAATAATAATGGATCAGAGTTGGTGTAATAATGTAATCAGAGTTATGAGTTTATAGCTAATATCGAGATGTAATTCCACGTTATTAGATGCGATATTATTGTCGTTTGACAGGCATCTGATTGGTTATTTCGGCAAAATTAATCGTTGATTATCATAACTAGTTTACACCATTTAATGAAGATTCGCTATAATCGAGCGTTGTCTATACTTGGAATTTTACATATTGCATATTAAAGATATTGGAGAAAGGATTATCTAGACTCTGTCTAAACGCGGCTTGATTATAATTAACTCAATGCGGAGGTGTTTCAGGAAACGTAGGATATGGATCAATGCAATAGGTTGCCCTGGATTCTTTTGTTTGGATAAAACGGCTACTTTTCTATAAGCAATAAATCAGTGAGTCATCTTCGTTTTGTCTTGTTGTTATTGTTGAGCTCATTGTCTTTTAAAATTGTCGATTTCTTTTCACGTACAAAGTCGCAATTGTTTCTTTTATTAATATCCGCTTGTTTGGAACGATCGAACTATCCATTTTACGACCTAGAAGATAGGTCCTCACAGCCTTGTATACCATAAAGAAAGCACGCGGTCTATTGATTTTACATTTACCTGTATGCATGGAGTAAATATCCGTGAAGCGTGATAGTTACACGTGGGATTGCTGTACACAACGTCGTTTGGCGTCAGCCAAACCGTATCAAATCTATTCAACGTCAGTGTTACATCGCCCCCATCGAATAGTGTAATTTGCTTCGCACGCGATTCACGATTTAACATGCGAACGTGTCCACGTGGTGCGATAGATCAGTGCGTTAATCTATTGCTTGCGGAAATCCTGTTTTCTTAAGCATATAGTTTCTTATTCCCGAAATTTCTTATTTCAAAAATATAAAGAATGTATTTACGTTGTAAAATGTTATATACTTATATATTTATTTCTTTCGATAATATGTGCTGCAATGATAGCTTCTCTTTTTGTAGTTTCTACTTTGTCATTAACTTATCAAATTCTTTTACGGTTTTTTCTTTTAATTTATTATATCACATATTAATATTGTATAATATTGCTGTTAAATAGAATAAAAGTTAAATAAGATTAATAGAAATTTAAGTTTCATCGTTTTGCTATTTCTTACTTTTTGTTTTGTAAATATATGTAAATATATCTAGTTATTTCAAGAAAAGCTTATGTATAATATATCAACACAAGACTTGGTGCAAAGGAAACTATAAAGAAAATTCTTAATAGCTGCTATTAAGTCGAGAAGATATTTAAGATGATAAATGCTTTTCACGAGTACCTTTTGGTAGCGCTCGTAAAGGTGAGAGAAGAAAATACTGGACGGTTTCTGAAACTTCAGGCTCATTTCGCGCGGACGAATAAAAGTAATTTGCTAAAGGGTCTCCGCCTAATCCACCCACAATCCCGCTAGCCAAATTCTCTTTTCCTGTCTTCGTGGAAAATCCCTACCGTATATACGTCCTACACCTTGTATATACCCTGACTATATATATGTTTTAAATGGAGATAGCTCCGCAGGGTTGACTTAAAATCGATCTAGAATCTCACGAGTACCCTCTTTTACGGGTTTTCTTTCTCTCCTTGAAAAAAATTACCCTCTACATAGTTGATGGTTCGCTTGATAGCATATCCTATGTGGTTGGTTGGTACGACGATTCGTAGGGAATAGAACAGATATCTGTATTAGGATAACGGTGACAATTTGGTGATGTCGAGTAATGTCAGAACGTGGTGATTGATTGTAAACTACATCCCGCGCTCATAAATTGGTGCGTGATAGTGACATGTAAGCACGTTATATTTGTTATGTACAGTATGAACGTAGATGTGGAACGAACGAAGATAATGATAAACCTGATGATGTATGTATGTCTATCTGGTCTATCACATTAGCTGCAGCATCTACTATTAAAGAGATGGATATACTTGCTCGGTATCGTAGGTACGAATTTGCTCACTCGTAACAGAACATTTTCGACGTACGCGAAACTCTGATGTAATGATATCGGTCATGTACAACATACTTGATATAATTAATTAAAAGGATATAATGAATTATTATAATATATTGTATGTTAATAATTGCGTTAATATGAAAAATAAAAATGGAACGGAGTATATGCAAAAAGAATAATTTTAATTCGTCAATTCTGATTTTGGAAAAATAATTAACGATGCACAAAAACTCACCTACGAAAATCTCTGCTCCAGCAAGCGTATATCACGGGGTTCATTCCGCTGTTAATCCAGCCGAGCCAAGTGACGGCCGCAGATACGATTTCTTCTTGCCATATGCACCTCGTGCAGAATCCCGACCATAGATTCACAACGAAGAACGGTAGCCAGCAAATAATAAATACACCCATAACGATACCAAGGGTCTTTGCCGCCTTTTTCTCCTTGGCGAACTTGGCGAGTTTACGCGAGAGAGAGAAATTTTTTCCTAGGTGTTGTTTATTGCTGATTCTCGCGGAGGGCACTCTAGTGAGACCATTGTTGTGAAGAGCTGTTAACGGTTCCTCGAGATCTTGCAGATCTTCGGGTGTGCTCGAGGCGGTGCGAAAAAGATGCCTAGCGTCGGTGTTGGTGGTTGCACCGCCTCGATGTATCCTCAATGTGAGTTCGAGCTCGCCCGAGGCCATCATCACCTGCTTCGTACCGAGTTTTAGACTCCTCGTCTGTATCACGGCGGCACGATAGATTCTGTAATACGTGAATACCATCACGAATAGCGGCAGGTAAAAACTGATTGTCGACGAGAATATCAGGTAACCGAGATTCTCCGTGAAGGGACACTTGTCTTCGGGCACTTGCTCAGTACGAACGGCACGCCACCACGCTATCGCAGGAAAAGAGATCGCACTCGAACAAATCCATACGATAGCGATTAGGATCGCGGCGCGTTTTCTACTCATTCGAGTCGGATACGTGAAGGGATCGGTAATCGCCCAGTAGCGATCTAGACTAATAACGCACAGGTTTAGAATGGACGCGGTGGAGAAGAGAACATCGAGCGAGCGCCAAACGTCACACCAGTCCGTCGTGAACAGCCAACGGTTCTCCAATACCTCGTATACCGCGCTAATTGGCATCACTACCAGTCCTACCAGGCAATCGGCACAGGCCAATGAAGTCACAAAGTAGTTTGTAGCTGTGTGCAGATGCCTCTCTCGGAATACCGCGAGAATCACTAACGAGTTGCCGAAAACGGTAGCTACGGAGAAGAGCAATAAAACGATCGCGAGACCGATTCGATCCGTAGCGAGTTCCCAGAGGTCCTCATAGGTATGATTAAACGACGGATAGTTCGCGTTATAAAAGCTTCTATCAAGTTCGTTGTTTAATGCGTGTACCTCTTCTTCCCAGTTCAATAGATAGATCTCGCTGTCATTCATGTTTTACCGTGCGCAGCCGTATTACTACGACGGTCTTTCGACCATAATCACCCTGACGTGCGATTGTCCAAGGATCTTGACCCTCTTAATTTTCCCTAGACGACTAAACGTCAGGGCATTGGCATTGCGTATACATTTGCGAGATCTCTCATTTTCGTCTGTCCTCTCATCTCGTCTCGCTAAGATATTTCGAATCATTACAACTCTTAATGATTCTGATGGACTCTTAATAAGGTTGCTGTTGTATTTTACATTTGCTAAGTTGTCATTGTATGATTTGATTGTATCTTATAAAGCTTGGTTAAACTTTCCCAACATATTTATCATGTATCTATCTGATGAAAGAGCATTTGGCACAACGTGTCCTTTTCAACCGCGATCCTAAAGTAATGCAGTAAAGTATAGAACACAATCATCATATAGGCATAATCAAGAATCAACAGTTTAGATTCCTCCTACTTCTTCAGCAGTATTTTCATTCGATTAGGATTATCATTCTTTCAAATATCTGAAACAAGCAAATAAGCTCGTAAAAGTTTGTCCTTTAAAATAGATACGAAGAAAGTAAAAGTAAAAAAGGCAAATTGGGCAATTTCGCTTATGTTATATTGTAATGATCGCAATCTGTTTAACAAATGCTTCTTTTTTTTAATAGAAAGCTCCTTATAATTAGAGATTTTTTTCTGTTTCCTTCTTCCAAAATAAGTTTTTTTTTTTATAATCCAAATCCAAATCTAATTCTAATTACTTGTGCGCTCTAATAAAAATTTCTGATATTATTAGAAATTTTTAATATAAATGTAAAAATCAATCTGAATTTTTTTCATTCAAATGCTTTACAGTTGGCAACTTTTATAGAACGGTAATATACATATGTATGCGCTCTGACAATTTGATTAGGTATTTGAAAGGTACCGGAAATATGAAAATGACGACAATAATTTTACAGAAACAGACCGTTACCTGTGCATAAATGATATATATTATAGATTGTACGAGATACCAACAAAATATTTTCTAGACATAAAATTCGTATATAATGTGTTGTAAAAATTAAGTAATAAAATACATGTAAAAGTAATAAAATCAACATTGTGATCCAAGCAGATAGAGTAACTTAATATTTTCTGAATGTCTAAATATAGTAAATTTCATTTTAAAAACACTTTTTCATCATACTGTCTAAACTTGAAATAAAGTTGTAAAGCGCTGAATAGGATGTGATAGGATATGAAAAAGATTCATGTTTTTGCGTCCAAATAAGGGAGAACAGGGGTTAAATTAAGCTTTCATTGGTGCAAATATTTATCGCTGTTTGATCAAAGCAATTCAGTAAAGTTAAACCAATAATAGTATAGTTTAGTTAGGTTTGCGCTTAGATTCTGTTTTATCTACATATATCCTAATATACAGGATCCGGGTTAATAGTGGCTATATTCAGTGGCTAGAGATAGTCTTATTCTCTCGCGTTGCAGACTGCAATCGCAGTTGCAGATTAATGATACAGAGATTAAAGATACATTAATATAATTTAATTTAAAGCGATCTTTCTTGTGATATTTCTTCGGTTATATTATTGATCAACATTGGCGACTCTATTGTGTATCAGAGACACGATGAACTTCCTCTTTGACGTACTACTTTTTTTTAGAGTAATATTAAAGCCATCACGCTGCGTCATCATATTTTGCATATGAGTCTCAAATTTTTTTCTAAAATTGCTTCTGTCCTCTGAATATTGAGTTTATACAGACAAATAAAAACTTATCGAAAGAAATTATCTATTTTGAATTAATACTAAGTTAATTTTCGAAAAATGTTGTTAAATTTGTTTGTAAACTATTAAAACATGCCTTTTGTTATGTTGGAAATGGAAGTAATATATGACATACTATTAATATTAAATTATCACAACAAACTAAAATTATTAATATTAGGCTCGCTCATGCCATACGTGTACAATCAGTTTCAAAGAGCGCGCTTCGACATTCTCTTTCAGCGTTAACTGTCTATAAACTGCTCACCGACTATGGCTATTTATGGATGTTCATCGTTGAGTGATTATCACGATCATCTTTGACCCCGCACCCTCGCGTCCTCCTCGTAGCCTCCCTAGTTTCAGCAGTGTAATATATGTATACTCGATCTTACATGTAGAACCCCCTCCCATGTTGAAGAAGGCCGCCGTTGAACTTGGTCATTACGGATGAATAGTACCAATGGCGATCGATATGCACATAGTACTATAAAAAAAGTTAGTTTTCCAGAACGGCCAATTCATTAATGAAGAAAATATTTTTCTGGAACGGCGAATCAAAAATATCTGTTCTTTTGAAATGTCTCAAGTCTCAAAATACTAAATATACTTTTTAAAAAGTGTTTGCACAACTAACAAATTAGAAGCAGATAATTTTAAAATGTTCTCATAAATTTAAGGATTTATCTTTTCTACTTTAATAATATTTCAAATTTCATTAATAAATGGAAGACGTATTACACATTAAAAAAGTCTGTTTTTCTTATTTATCTATAAATATAGTAAATACTATGGAAACACAAATTCAAAATAAGACTTTGTTGAATACAATGTTAAATGGCCTCTATAAACACATATTTGTAATAAAGAATGTATTTCTTAACAAAGTGATCCTTATATCATGTTTCTCGACGAGAGTTGAGTTAGATCTATGTGATCTCTTTCCCTGTTTCCTTAGAAACTTACAGAATTCCGACAGAGGGATCAAGAGGGGGTAGAGATAACTTACGTAACTGATCGAAAGAATAAGAGGGAATCAAGAGCAGGGAAGCGAAAAATTGAACGGAAAAATGGAGGGAATAATACAATGTATAAATATTTTGCAAAACTCCTATACGAAACAATAAGAATAATATTATTTTAAATTGTTTTCGCATTAATTTCCAATCAATTTGTGATCTCAAATATACTTAAATAATAAAACGTAACGTTCATTGTCACATAATTTCGTTATCGCAAAATTAATGGAATTATGTAATTATATATATGGTAAAAACAAAAAATAACATAATCTCTCACATAACAATTTACAAAGAATATAAAAAATAAAAACAAGTACATAAAATGTTGGGGGTAATGGATATTCTGTTATAATTTATTTGATGTGTGTGTATCTATATTAATTTTCAGTTTCTCTCTTTTCCTCGCTGCCTCTTTTATTCGCTATTAATAACATACATTATAATATAAATTAACTTTGTAGAGTAGGAGGAGGGAGAAATTTTACAAGGCTTGATATCACATTCGCGTTTGTGATCCCGTCGCAGCCAATTGCAAAATTGCCTAAGATTGGTCAAACGATAATCGTGTAAGCCGGAAATCCGTGGGTGTCAATGGTCTATTATCATTTGTAACTCTCTAGACATTCATTCATTTTGCATTTGTAAGATTCAGTTGTCTTTTAGTAAAAATGTTTGCTTGTTTAAAAAGATCGGTAATTATGATTAAACCAATTTGTTTTAATAACGCTGAAGCAAAAATAAATTGCATATTGATCTAAGCATTGAGTGCATCCCAACATACGGGATGATTAGTATATCAGCGTACTTTTTTCTAAATTTTACGGATATTACAAGATTAATACTTTCAAATACTTAATCGGAATATCTTTAATTTTGTGTTTTCATTTACTTACAAAGAATTAATGATGCGATAAATAAGAGAAACATTCTAAAACATTTACCTGATATTTCTATTTCTTTCATCATAAATGCATAAATTCTCGTTTTTTTTACATATTTTCACGTGATTAGAGATATACGATTTAACTCGAGAATTATACGGTGCGATTTATTAGTGCGCGAATATATGCAGTAATTATGTATGATTTGGTGTCGCAATATTGATTAAAAAATTTTTTAATTAGTATATAAATCTAATTTTGGCAAATATATTTTTTTCTAGAAAAAATGAAAACAGTCCTAAAATTACATTTCGTTTGTACAGAATTTTATATTGCTGCGATTTATTTTCATTGATCTATTCGGTGAGAAATGACAATTGATACGTGTAATTTTTGACTGACATGAATAGCCAATATTCTTTCCATAAGTTTTCAGTCTTCGGTAATTCTGTCTCACCAATGAACATTTTCTTTTACCATTATTTTTTGCTATTGCCATTGTATCGATATACCACACATAAATGTCTCTTCTTAAATAATTCCAAATGTTATGGGATATTTTCCGTAGCAACGTAATGATGCGTGTTGGACATTGAAAATTAAAACAGTGTTTGAGTATAAGAAAAAGTTAAATAAGCTTTGAAAATAAAATGATAATAGGTAGGTATAGTCACTAGTATTAATGTTTAAAGTGTCTGTTATGTATACATTGGTGCGATCAACTTCATCCGCTGTGTATCTACATACCATGTATTTCAGAGCGTACTACTATGTATCGTCACGAATGAATAATTTTTTCCACACAATGCATTATCTTAAAAATATATGTAAAATATTTTTCTATACAAAAAGTTTAAACAATGTGTTAAAAGAACAACAAAAGTGATAGAACTTTAAAATTAATATTGATAAGATTTTGTGGCAACTTAACAAATATTTTGCATAATTGGCCGAATTTTATCTGAAGTAATGTTTGATTTTTGAGGATGAATTAAAAAAATAAGAGTAAAATATAATGATGACGAATAATAATTATGCGCACGTAACAGGCCTGTTTCTTCTTAAATATTAATAAAAAAAATTTTAATTTTCAAAATTTGTAACTACTTTTTCATTTAATATAGAATCCTGCAGCGATATATGTTAATGTAATGGATGGGGGCTTTTTCAGTTAAGCAAGCGATACATAGTATATTATTATGTAGATATAAATGCTTCTAATGTTTGTAACGGAACAAGAGTATCTTGTTCAATGTGTTTTTTGAACGGAAGAAAAGCATTTTCAAAACAAGGAAAAACGGTAACAATGAAACTATTAAATAAAAATCATATCATGCGTGAGACGGTACGTACCGTTATATATCATTTGTATATTATTATGAACTAATCGTTATATATTTTTCCGGTGAGGAAAATACGCGGGTACCGCGGTTGTTCTCCATTAACGCATTGTCGTTGGTTAACGCGTGTTAATTATCCTCTAATCTGACGTTTGCACGTGGACTTTCAAGGTCAGGGTCTTTCCTGATCGCCAGCGTTCGATCGCGATGAAATGATGCACGATGTCATGACGTTCGAAGCACAGGCGATGAGGGTGTTGTTGGTATTTACCGTGATTTGGTAAGTGTGTTGGATGTCAGTGTCAAATGAAATCGAATGCAAGGAGCGAAAAAGGATGATCACAATAGACGTTCGGGGACATCTTCAAATTCTTTCTCTAAACGCGCACGTACATACACAATAAACGGGGGAAGAAAAAACGTGGCTTATCCTCGCGGTACTCTTCCTTCGAGAGAACGCGGGACGTGTTTCGCGGTTTTAGAAGGCCAACTGCTACCATCGCGTGGCTCGAAAGCTCTGCAACCGTCGCGCTTGCGCGCCGCATCGAGCCGCGTCAAGCTGCATCACCCCCGAGCGCACACATACGCACTTTCGCCCTTATCAACTTTTGCTCGAAGCACCCTGTTTCTTGCACGTGCGTCACGGATATGCACAGATATGACGCAGATTTTTCCTACGTCACAAAGGATGCCGGTTTTTAGCCTTTATTTTTTAAATTATTTAGACGCTATTTTCTAAATCTGCTTTGGCTAACAGGTCACATATAATTATAATCTATATTCTCTTCGACACATTCTACAGTTTGAATATTTTTGTACAGGCTCCCGCAAGGTAAGAAAATAATTTGTAATTGAGTTAGAAAAAATATTCTATTGTCCTTGATTTTGTATCTATAGTGACTTTGTAACCATTTTTAAACTAAAACAATTTTTATATTCTTTTAATTAATTATATATGTTATATATGTATCATATCTTTTACATTTGTCGGTCATTAATATTAATAATGTATGTATATAAAATTTAGCATATTATTAATTTTGTTTCACAATCATTATAAAGCCTAATAGGATAGGATCTATATCTTAATAAAGGAATATACTTGCAAATTGTTACGATGGAGTTTTAATATGTATATTAACCCCAATTATGCTGACAATTGATTGAAGAGTATAAAGAATATTTACAACATATAAATCAGTATACAAATAGCAGCTCGTATTTTGCATAGTAATTAAAATAGAATTAATAAGCTTTATGGATTTGTAGCGTATTTCGAATTTATAAATAGCAAATTGATTTTACAGGGATTTAAGTTTTATTATCCAAATATTTTATATTGCGCGCAATGTATGTTATATAGAACAGAAATGTGGGCAGAAAATATTTAAAGCTTTTAGATTAGAATTTACGACACAAGTGTCTCTTCTAAAGTTATTTTCTATTTTCGGCACAGCATCTTTCTGCAGTACCTTTCATCTGCGTGGAACAATCCGCACCTGCCGAGTCTCTCTCGCTCTTTCCATTTTTGGTTTGTTTGCAACAACCAGACATACAGCAACCTCCGGCTGCTTCTCTCGCTCTAATAAAAAGCATAGTAATAACATTATTAATATCGATCTGAATTATAAAAAATGAAGTATTTTTTATTTGGAGAATTTACAATAATAAATTAAATTATGCATACGACAAAAAAGATGAATTTATGAATTCATTTAAAGTAGCCCATATGGCCGCCTTTTTAACCTTGTCGTCAAGCAGGACCATTGCGTTGGCAGATTACTTTCCTGCTGGGCAGCAGCTCTTTTGATCCGTGGTAGCATCGCTACAACATCCGCCATGTTCTTCTTTCGTGCCCGAGCAACATTTGGCACCACAACATCCTCCCTTTTTTTCTCTATGTATATATTCAATTGAGTTATAATAATTATCAAATTATCAAATTATCACAAATTTCTGGGAATGTTGCACTGCTTGTGCAATCATTATTATGGAATCAGGCGACCATATAGGTTTAAAAATAACTTTTCTTATTTTTTAACTAATTAATTTTTATTTTTATTCTTTCTTTCTTTATTTTTATTACTGTAATTTTTACTTTTTGCTGCAACATCCAACGAAGTCTTTTTCCTTACTGACCACATCACTCTTTTTCGCGTCACTGCTCAAACATAATGTATGATACATGACACATACATAATCTATATACACGTAAATGTATTTATGAATTTATAAATAAGTATATATGAAAACTTACTTGCATCGACAGGTTACTTGTCCAGCATATCCTTTTCGACTAGTAATTTTGCTATAAAAGATAATACCAACATTTTTCACATATATACATGTGTATATGTATATCCTTATATGTAGCAACTTTTTATATAGATACGTATGTATCCATAATATTACTTCAAGAAACAAAAACTTTATTATAAGAGAAAAACTACATTATGTGACGTAATAAAAAGATTACTTACGCACAATGATCACACATGATGAGTTTTTACGATCTTACGACATACGAACTTTAATCTTTTATCCTAAAAAAAAATTCTGAAATTTTGGAAAAATGTGTAACTTTGAAAATTTATATATGACGTGAATTACAAACAAATATTACGCGTTACCATGGTCTCGTTCATCTTTTTCTTTATTTCTTTATTGGCATCTTTTATTTTAGAATGTTTTACAAATACAAAATGTGTCGCGTTTATAATATAGAAGTAATTTTTTAATATATAGTTGATACATTTGTATGTGTGTACGTCATAGTATTAATTTTTTCGAAATACTTGATATAATAATAGAAAATAAAATATATGTAATCTTTACATAAAAATTATGTATATCAAAATGATATTTTAGGAAGAATATATAACACAAACACAATCAATACCAGAAATTTAAAATGCCTATTACGATCGAAGCTGGATCTTGATTGCTTTAAATAATTCAATCTTGAATTACTAATATACACTATATATGTACTTGCATATATACCATATTATAGTCTTTTCGAACTGCGCGTCGAATTGTTTTTCCGAACTATAAACGCAATTAAAACTACTCTAGTAATCGTGAATTAAATTGACAAGCAATTTTAATAATTTGATGCTACCATCAAACATCATATTATGGAGATGTTAATATGTTAAATTGTGATTCTCAATAAAGTGTAGTTGTTTTGTTGTATGACCGCCGTAAATTTGCACACGTATCATAATGTACAGAAGCGTATTATTGTGCTTGAGAGATTGACTTGCTTCTATTTTAATCGTGCAATTTAAAATTAAAAGATAGCGATGTGTTTAACTGTGCAATATTGTATCAAATGGATTTGGATTTTTGCGAGTTGCTTGGTTTCGTGAGGTGAGTTGATAGAGTTTTTATTGCTCTCTTCTTTATTAATTTCTTAACTGTTTTTTTTTTAAATTTTAGTTTGAGTTATTATTGCCACTCAGCCAACTAACTGTAATGGACATTGTACTCACGATCTCACGAAATTATGGTAATCGCATATTTGACAATTGCAAAAATTTAGGACATTAACTGTGATTCTTAATATGCTGTATATATTGTTGCGTTGTAGCTAAAGATGACTCAAGGACTCGGAGTACATGAAACATACGAAGTTAGATGATATTTTTATAGTAATAAACTCGATATTTTAACAACCAGAGGTAGACTCCTATTGCCTTATTTACTAATTTTGTTTTATTGTTAAAACTGTGTTTCTCATATGCGGTCTAAAATAAAGATTCTTAATATTGTTTATATTAAGTTACCTGAAAAAAGACGTTGTTTCCTTATTGTACCGATTATTGCGAAGACTATTACTAAGGCCTCGGCGATCTAATGGCTTAGGATGCTTGTGCGGAATACAAGAGATCCGGGTTTAAGTTTCTGCCGAGGTAATATTTTTCGCAATAAATTTATTAACAGTTTTAACATATTAACATTTTTATAATATGATGTTTGATGATTTCAGAGTCAAATTATTAAAATTGCTTGTCAATTTAATTCACGATTACTAGAGTAATTTTAATTTACATTCCGGAAAAACAATTCGGCGCACAGTTCGAAAAGACTACAATATGGTACATATGCAAGTACATATATAGTGTATATTAGTAATTCAAGATTGAATTATTTAAAGCAATAAAGACCCAGCTTCGAGACCGTAATAGGCATTTTTAATTTCTAGTATTGATTGTATTTCTCACATATGCGGTCTAAAATAAAGATTCTTAATATTGTTTATAAAACACGAAGTTAAATTAATTTTTAATACAACACTTTTATGGGTACTTACGTACATATATATGTATAAATATAATTAACGTAATTATATTTGTATTTTTATATGTATATATATACATATACATTTACATATACAAATATATTACATATATGTATAGTCAGTATGGTATGTATACTTTAAACTATTTTTATACATTTTCTTTTAAAAGATGGCAAATTATAATAAAATATAGTTATCTTATATAAAATGCATTTTTCAAATAAAATAATGTAATTGAATAAAATAGCGCGTTTTTGCATATACAACTACTTCATGCTGCTATTCCTTTATATCTTTCATAATGCAGTGCTTTACATATATCTAAACTCAAAGCATTTATCTTTAAATAAATGATACGCTTTTTAAAATCTGTAAACAGAATTCTCTGGTGAGTATCTCATGATAATAATAAATTTACATTATAATACATACGTCAGGTTGCTCTTTAATATAACATGTAGCTATCTGAAAAGCTTTATCACAAGCATTCTCCGATTCTAAAAATTAATTTTTCCATTAATTTATTAATATCAATTTTCATTTTTCAAATTTTTAATGATACCTATCGTGTCATTACATTTTGTATAAAAAGATAAGAAAATATAAAATATAGGTGTTATATATAATACATTTAAAAAATTACAATAATTATACAGATTGACCTTGTTATACAACCAAGTAGCTAAATAAAGGAGAAGACTTACGAATTGATTTGCATCGATGAAGAATTTTTCTCGATGACTCTTGCATACTGCGCGGGAGATGACGTAAGACTTTCTCAACATCTATACTGCTATTCTCATTAAGAATGCCGCTTTTTACCATAAAGCATTTCAAATAACACTTTAATTTAATATCATGTTGTTCAAAGTTACCGGCCTTTAGTTGCTTTAAAGATGCTAGATCAAAGAAGCCATCAAGAAGAACCAATTAAGAAAAATAAATGTATCTTTTTCGACGTAAAAGTAATATAAAATATTTTCATACCCCAAGAAACATTTGTTTGTTTGCGACACTCTCGTTTAATGTCCGCTCGTGTTCCAACATGCACACAAAATGAAAAACAACTTTGATATAATTATATTATATATGTATATTAAAAATTTTAACATATCGAAATTGTAAACATAATTTTTATTATTATACATTAAAATTAAAATATATATAAATTTAACACTAAGTACTATTTACTGTATATGTTATATTTATGTTTTAATTTTAGAGTGCGCAGTAACTGTATTTAATTTATACAATAAAATTATTTTACTATGAAACATTTATTGAATTTTTGTGACATTAGCAAAAATTTTTAATACAAAATAATGTAGGAAAATAAAAAACATTAAGAAATATTACTTACTAGCAGAAGTAATATTACAATAACAAGTAGTATATTTGCAATGTTCATGTTTCTCCTCGTTATAAGTTAGTCAAAGAAACCAGTTAGACAGCACTATGGTTAATGAGAGCATAATCGTAGAACGTATTCAACGTGAATATTTTGTTGATATTTGATCTTTGATAACAGTATAGAATTTGCATTCAGTTGTATTATAAATGCCAAATATGAAATTGAATGAATACATAAATGCCACATCAATCAGTTGTGTTATGTGCAGTGTAATACATAAATTCATATCAATGATTTTGTAGGACAAACTCATAAAACGTTTTAAAAAACCTCAACGTTTTGAGCAGTTATTTAATGTGTATAATATTTTTTCATTTAATATGTTTAAAACTGTGCTCCAAATTAATTTTTTCGAACATAGAAACGCATCTAAACTGTAATAATATCACAATTTGGAAGTCGAACCCGGAACTCTAGCATTCCATGCCTAGTCCTAAGCCTTGTCCTTTAGACCGAGGCCTTAGTAATATTCTTCGCAATAATTAGTATATGTATGGAAACAACGTCTTTTCGGGTAACGTAATATAAACAATAATCTTGCATTAAGATCTCTTTAATAGATGCCTATCGAGCATTAAAATTTAATAATATTGCTACAGTGTAGTTTAACTGTGTTTTTCTAAGGGTGCGTTCTAAGTTAAGTATAAAGTATGATGCATCTTTGTCCTTGTTATTCACCAAATAATAAAGAAGGATAAAAAGATACATTATGCGCTAAGTCTGAAAAAATGGTAATTATTTAGTATAAGGGACTACCTTCCAATGACTTTGACCTTGACCTGTCAAGGTCATGCCCCCGAGTGACTTTGAACAAATTTTAACCGTCGCTCGTTGTTCGTTAAAAAGTTGTTAACAAAAAAAGTTTGTTTAAAAAATGTGATTTTAAAGCAAAGAATTTGTTTGTAAAGCAGACGTTCCTAGAAAAAGAACCAAATATATCATCACACACAGCAATTGACTGGATTAACTTTTGTAGAAAGATAATTCATGTAATTTAATAATTTGATAAAACTACATAAATGGAGAACAATGTTAATTGTTTATAAAGCAGGAAATTTGTGTTTTTGAAGTAAAATATTTGTATCTTTGAAACAGAAAATTTGCATACTTATTTAAAAATTCTCTACTTTAATAAATATTCATTTACAACAATCTGGCTTCCCAGCTTATGAATCAATGGTTAATAAACAATCAATATTAAATTGGCGGAGAAGGAATTATTGTCGAAATCGATGAGGCAAAATCATATAAGAAAAATTATATAAGAAATTATGTAAAAAAATATTTTGCGCTGTTAAAGCAGGAAATTTGTTTCGGAGCGCAGTCGTGTCCAAAAGTTAGGTTTTATTGATGAACTTTTTTTGTTAATAACTTTTTAAGGAACAACGAGCGACGGCTAAAATTTGTCCAAGGTTATTCGGAGTCATGACCTTGACAACATATGTCAAGGTCAACAAGGTTATTGGAGTGTTGTCCTCTATAGTAAATAATTAATAAAAAAATTAATTCGGCGCGCAGTTCAAATGACTACAAATATACTTATAGTAATAATCTATAGAGGAAAGGCCCCTATTATGAGATACCGAATTCATTTTGGATAAATGCTAGAAGTCTATGAGTTGAACTTAAAAAAATAATAGGTCATTTTGAAGGGAATTTAATAAGCTTTAAGATAACGTTATATAAAATTTAATTCAAATTCCATTTTTTTTTCAAATTAGCGAAATTTGAAAAGTGAACAAATCACGAATTCAAAAAATTGTGCTCCTAATATGAGATGCTCCGAGAAATCGATAGTAAAACGCAAGATATAGCGATATTGCAACTAAAAAACTTTATTTCATGTTTCTAAAATGCAAACAAACACAGCCAGGGTGCGTGAAAAATAAGCATGCGATATATTATACCCAGAACTCGTCTTCGGGTAGTTGGAATCAAGCATCGCAGAAATAGACACTCGACGTTCATTCCGGTTGTCCTTTTTATTATAGCACAATAACATTTATTCTTTAGCAACGATTTTCACTATGGACATAGAAGCATGGGTTATTTCATATTAGAAATACCCTGGGTATCTCTCATATTACGATTTCCACGCCTTATGGTTATATGATCATCAAATCTAACTTCTGTAATTAAACAATTCAACATATCCCATATTTTTCTATTAGTACGACCTTACTCTATCACTACATGAAGAATTTATTGCCAAATATTTATTTATTAAATAATAAACAAGATTTAAAGGCTCATCTCAATAAAACTTGAAGATATCAAAATTCTAAAATCTTTTTTTACAATGACTACAGGCATGATCTAATGATGAATTTTCTACTAAATAGTTTTCAATCCAAGAACAATAAATTCATGGTGGAACCAATAGATAGCGTTTATTAGTTTAACAGAAATGCCGCTATCTCATATTAGGCGCCTATCTCATAATAGGGGGCTTTCCTCTATTATGAGATAGGCGTATAGTATGTATAGTATATACATATTCACATGGAATATCTAATTATTAAAAATCCGTTACGGGCTTTTGTTTCCTATTAGTTAAAATTAATTTCTATTTTTCTAAAATTATGATTTTTTATTTCGATGTGTAAGTATATCAATAAAATTATTTAATTAATATAATATATGTTGTATATTTTATTTACTTTTATTATTAATAATACTATTTTAATATTTTTTTTATATTATTTATTATTTTATATTTATATATTCATATCGTTGCTAATTAATATAATACATCATATAATATATTAAATTTTTATTTCGTATATATAAATCTGATTGTAAACTAATACGATTTATAATTGTTACAAACGATTGGCCACATTATATCAACACACTGTCAAGTTATATCTTTACTCTCTTACTTAATACAGATATGATAATTTACTCATAGTTGAGTTTCTTAAACAAAATATTATTTTATATTATTTATTTATTTATTGTTAATGTCATGAATACATTTAATTTAAAAAATCATTAGTATAGAGGAGAAGATGATATTATGGCCAGTGTAAATATTATAGTCCCCTCCCCCCTTAATATCTCCGCTATTATATAGCAAATTCTAATGATTACTTATGCAATTATTTGTTCAGTAGCTCGCCGTTACACCATGATGCTAATATACCAATACTCAATAGCCAGCACTTATTATAATGTATTTTTACTTTCAAATATTTCGATACGTTTCTATGGTACATTTTAGCATTTAATTACACCTATTTCCTCATTTTTCTTGAACTTGAGCGTATTATCACACGAATATGTATATTCGAGTGTGTTGTTTGCTATTCAACATTTTATTTGACATTTCATATATTTTGAATTATGCAAATTTAAACAATAGCACAGCATTTTGCTAATGTGGCCCTCTATGCGTATTGATTACTCACGGCCTCTTTTTTGAGGTTTTCATATTAAAATAATTATTTGATAATCGATTGCAGCTCTATTGTTAATCTATAGTTTATATTACAATACGTATATGTAGATTTTTAGTACTGAGCAACTTATATGCGGCAGGAGTTATGTGTATATACATATGTTTGCATAATTTGAATACATACACTCTATAATATTTTACTTTTTATATATGAATTTTCTAACCAAATACTGTTTTTTAAACAAAACCAATTTTTTATATCTATTTTTGTGGAAGGCCATATTACTATAACTCCTGCTTTATTTTTCGAGCTATTATGTAATGTCGTTACATTTCTATAAATAGTGTTCTAAATAATAAATGTTTCACAACTTTAAGTCTAGAATCGATTGAATAACATTTTAATAAATGTAATTATTGAATTTTCAATTTAAATATTGATTATTAACCAAGTTATTTTACAAAATGTATGTGGGGTGCCATAGTACCACCTCCTCTAAGCTATGTCGGCAAATATACTTTTTACATAACCATCAATTGATAAATTATCGTCAATAGTTAAATGTCATTACTGTTAATATTTACATGTATTCGGAATACTGTGCCAGAGGCCACTATATATGAGACAGACTTGTCTAATATCAGCGTACAGTTCCTTTTTTATTTATGTTTAATTGACGTTAAAAAAAACTTACTTTTAGAGTTAAATTATTTTATAATTAGGTTCTTGTGTGTGATGCATTTTTATAATAAAATGCATGCAATTTTATAATAAAGTTTGATTTACAATACGATAAGAGAATCCGTCAATAAGATGAAACATTTAATTTCTTTGAGTTTTATTTCTTTGATTTTTCGATAACATTAAAATGGATTTTTTAAAAATATAAACGTGTAAAATGAGTGAAAATTGGTTTAAATATTTAATAGTTTTATTTATATTATTTTAAACGTATTTGTCTGCATCAATTACTGAATCTATGATAGTTTTTGATGAAAATACATTTTCTTATAATTATTCACGTAAGATCTGTGGCTAATGCCACAGATTAAAAACACTTTATATATATCGTTAATTATCGAGTACAATTTATCTGTTTGACATATTTCAGATCTGCAAAGTGTTAAATAAAACATTAAATTGAATAATTAAAACAAGTATAAGTCCATTTTTCTTAGAATGCAAAAGTTGCCGTAATAAATAATAGATTATAGGAATGTATAATTCGAACTGGTAAATTTACATTATTTATTTAACACAAAAACAGTTTTAATACAAAATTAAAAATATTCGTGTATTATATTGGCCAGCATTATAATTTAATATCACAACTTTGGTAGTAACGTTGGTAGTTTGTTATTCATTCGCGTACATAATTTGTAATGTTGCGTTCAACATGACGTGTTTAAACGCGGGAGATTATAAAAAGAATACCTCGTACTCGATAATTTTTTCATAAACGCTTTTCTAATATAAAATAAGATATATGCGCCAGAGAACAAGTGTATATATAATAGAAAACTAATGTAATGTTTTGTTAATATTAGAGATTATCTATATATTTTCTAAATCGAAATCCTAATTACAGTCATCGAACTCCATTAAAGCCCATGGTGACATCAATTGAGAGGATGGGCGGAATTACAAAATCTTGATATTAATAAAAATTAAAATAACTTGCTACTTTTTTATTATACACAAATGGGTACAATATCAAGTGAATTTATGTAATGTCTTTAAGAAGTTACATATTACAATACTTCTCTCTATTACGATCAATATTACATAAAAAAGCTAATCACCGGAAGGAAAAAGGGCCAAAGTAGAATTGTGCCTTTATTCTGCTCATTCCATCCCCAATTACCCTGTGCTCGATATCTCGATATCACATTTTTGTTGTTCGTGTCGATGATACCCTAAGCGATAGGGTATCATCGACACGAAGTACACGTAGGGAACGTACATTCTTTCTTACTCCTGACAAACATGTACATCAGCGTCGTTCATCAAGTCACAGACTCACGGCGAGAACGAGGAGTCGAGATATCCTCTGCTCCGCGCGAGGGACCTATATAACTGTACCGGCTGTCTGGGTCAGGGGGCGGGCCGCTACGTTTGTAGTATACTCCGTATATCGGACAGGTGTACCCTATTCCGACTCTTCGAGTTCTCGCATGCACCTCCGAGACCGGCGATCGCACGCCGTCCCGTACGCGTCTCTTTCTCTAGCTGTCGCGATCGGGCATCGCGGAGTATCGCATCATCACGAGGTGATCAGTCGTTCGCGCACGGAGCTTAAGAAGGCTCTTATAGAGTCCGTTCGAGGGTATATCGAAACTTTGCACTTTACTATACGGATACGCTTGTCAATCTCATCTTCAATATTCGCGAACCATTGGAGCGTGCGAAATCGAGCGAATGTGCGCCGGGAACTAACGTTCAACAACGATTTAGAGATCGATGTAGCGATTCATTCAGTTCTTCGTTCGTCTGACATCCGAAGGAGAATCGAGCACGTTGGCAACAACCCGCATCCGGATTTGCTTGGGCTGTATCGGTTCAAAAAAGTAAGATATCATCGCGTCGCTAATATTGTATATTGTATTCAGTCACTGTATCTACCATTCGTATTGCTATTCTTAAACTGTTCGATTCATTTTAATCGTTTAATGTTACAAAAAAAAAACCGGTAAAACGTTATATGTCATTCATAAATTCGAGACTAACACATTAAACTAATATCAACACAGGAAGGAATTTTTTTCACGATGCGAGAAAAATGGCTAAAATATTACCTCTGTGAAACGCACCTCTGTGCATTATTTCGGACATGCATTTATTTTGCTAACTCTCAATCCTGATTATAATGTACGAAATACACCGCAAATTAAATTCCCAAATATTCTACGGTTCTCCGCTCCTCGCGTGAGTATGATGAAAACATCGTTATAGATAATTCGTGGCTATTAAACGCGCTTCTTGAGTCCAGCGGACGTATGCACGGCGGTTAACGACCAGCTACGTTGCACAGGACGTAATCCAATTAGCGCTACGTCACTGATTAAGTTATTAGAGGCAAGTCGCACGTCATCGTTTCGCGCCTCGTTAATGCGTTAATAACGGCTGGGTGCAGGCTCATTGAGAGAAATTATACGTCGCGCTGTAGGAGATGCAGCACGATACGCAGTCAACCAATCACGTGGTGACCGTTTTCACTCCAGCGAACATGTTACGGATGCGCAATATTACAGGTCCGACGGACCTGTTCTATATAATATTGGTAGAAATTCTTTTAAATATATTACATTTTCAAATGTAAATTGAGTAGAAGCAGTATTAATGTGTGGCACATGTGTATAAAACGAGGAGAAACATTGTTGCGCAATCGACTGCTATTTTATCAATTAAAATTACACGATAATTAAAAAGCGTGTAATTTCGTATACCATTGTGCAAACGATGGAACCAAACGAGGTGGAGCATACTAAAAGAAGTGAATCATGAATTTTTTACATGTACAGTTACGCGTGTGCGCGGCGTGTGTTTACCGAATAAGAAGAATAGATCCGTATTGACAGTAGTTGACAGAACGGCTTTAAGGGGATGCTGGAGTGTCCTGTTTTACCATTAATTTTTAATGACTCTTTTCTCTTAATTGTGTTTATGGATTGAAAGGTCCTTCTCCACAATTAAAGTATCGACAACAACACAGGCTGCCAGCTACAATTTAATAATACGAAAAATGGAAGAAAATTAAAAATTGTAGTTTTGTCACACCGGCTCCTGCAGTCAACTCGTCACAATATGTGCTGCATATAAGAGTTTCAGATTTTACCCGTTTAAAATAAATAGCCAGCAGCCTACAGAAAACCTCGAAGAACAATCCTATGCTTTTAGAAACGAGATAGAGGCTTTGGTATAAGAGAAAAGAGTCGCCAAAAATTTCGTTCGTATACTACGAATAAAATTGACGTGAAGCCATGAAACCGAGCAGTATTTTAGTTGATCTCTTTCTAAGAGATGCGGTTGCGATATGTTAGATAAGGACAGATGAATGCGTTTGAGCGAGACACAACGATATATGATAAGTATAAGAAATGAATGAAAGATGTCACTATTATCGAATTTGGAATTTAACAAAATCTGTACTCGACCTTGATTAAGTTTAACCGTCACTCCAGCATCCCCTTAAAGTATATACTATTATTTAAATTTCGAAATTACATCAATTTGCAAAGTTTTGCTACTCTTATTAACAAATTCGTGTGAAATATTATATTCATAAATTGTAATTACACTTTTATATTGAAATTTGTGTATCTGGCATAAATTTTTATTTATTTATTTATTAAAAATTGATACGTGATTTCTTTTATCGTATCTCTTATATGTTCTCCCTTTTGGTCGCATACAAAATGTAGAGATAAGCGATCGAATCGGATTACTTTTATTACATTTAATTACCATATCGCTGTATTGCAAAATAATTAGTTTATAATAGATTGTGTACGAACACGGAATTTTTTTTAAAAATGTTTTTTAAAATCCTGAAAATATGGTAGTTGTGGTACGATATAATATTTTAAAAGTTTTTACCATGCACTTCAGTAAAATTAAACTTATTTTATATTTTGTTGTAGTTTTATTAATAAATGAGAGAGATTTACATTGAAAGTATTTGAAATACACACAATGTTGTCCCACGACTATCATATTTTCAGGGTAAATTCTAAGAAAAAATTCTCTCCGTGTATATTATTACATTGCGTATTGCTATTCTTGCGATCCGATCGAATATATCCAAGCACGCTTGCTCCGTTTTAATTTATTAAGGAGATCGCTGGTGATTTTCGACGCATGATTAAGTATCGTTAAATCTGAGAGATCACTGTCTGATTGATACACCGTGGTTGTGTAGAATCTTTAGAGCGAGATAACTAGCGAAATGAGATCTAAAAAAGAAAATAAAAAAAACATTAGATGAACGATATTAATAAATCCATTAGAGTATATAAAACAAGAACTAACATATAAATTCGTCGATGCATCAATCCGTTCGACTTTTTTTTGCATGTTAGTGGATATTATTTACGACGCGACGTCTTTCTGGATGTCCGTTATGTGAAAGAGAAGATAATGAGAAAGGGGGACAAGGAAACAGAAAAGTGTCTAGGTCCTTTCTATATAGGTCGCTATTAGGTTGCTGATTATGCGAATGCCCGACTTCGGAATTACAATATCGACTGAACCGTTATACGTATTTGGCATCATGCCGTGTATCTTCGGTATACCCGATTCATGGTTAGCGCGAAACGGGAGATGGGTAAACAGCTGGTGATTTTTATTCGAGTACAAGCTACTCATAAGAGAAAGAACAGGTGTCGTGGTTTATTGTGACACGAATTGCAGAGAAGCAGAATAATATAATATATAATATAGTTTAATGACTTAGTGATTTTCGCGGCTGTCTCTCCAGATTGTTTCCGGTAGTTAGCATCTACGTGTAAAAGCAATTAATTATACATTTGAGACACTGTTGATTCTTGGATTACAACGTTATATGTTTTATTTAATATGTTTTATTTAAAAAAATCGAGCAAACAGAGACTACTGAACGCAGATTGTCTTAACAAACATGTCTTCAATATTTTTATTCATTCACGACAAAATTTATCGAGAGAAGCGACTTGGAGAAAAATTCCAAGAAATCGGTCAAATTATCGTAACCGTTCGATTTTAGATGTTATCGTGTATACAAAGATCGTATATACAAAGTACTGGATTCGCAAACTGGACGAATAGCCGGCGGCCGCGCCCGGCTAACCGGTTGATCCTTTTGACTTGGACTCCACGTGTCCATTGGTGCGCGTGCGGTCGAGCGTTGATCGGCGGGAGCCTACTTGCCTACATTCATAAAACGTCAAGCATACCACTTGGACACCGATTGCACATTACCGCACAGTCGTCTTGCATATCGTCTCTGGCTTTTCTCTTTCATGCGCGCGCGAAAGCGGTCGTGCTGTTCATCATTATAGCATTAAAACCGGAACGAATTTTTAAACTTTATATTTTAATTTTTAAAGATCAAAGCAACTGAGACACACTTAACGTTAAAAATTAGAAAATTTAGATAGATATAATTAGTGCAGAAGAAAGCTTCCTCTATCTTGTCAAATTTAAATGGTTTAGAAAATTTAGGAATTTAGATAAGGCAAATTAAGGTTTACGTCGATACATACATTATCGTATGTATACATTACACGTACATTACATATTTATATATGATATTATATATACCGTAAAGAGAAGAACGCTTGGATACGCGGAGGTATTTCTGCTGTATGTTCTGTGTAAGAGAGCATTAAAACGCAAGACATTCAAGCCGGCACGACCATTAGACAAATTAGTACCTACTCGCGACATAAATTTACCTACCCGCAATTTACATGACTGTTTTCCTCGTTTGTGTCTCAATTTACGTCCGCAGATAAAAGCCTCAGCAAGTATTTTATTACACTTAAATAAAACAGTTTTGGGGTTTTAATTAATTTCCTTTCCCATTTATATGCACGTTTCCTGTTTTGCGTTAATTAGATGCTTTGTTCTTTAAAAGAAAGTTGCATCGAAATCCTACTCTTTTATATGTGTCTGTGTGTGTGTGTGCGCGCGCGCGGGTGTAGTATATATGTATGCAGAGAAGCGATAACAGTGGCATACTACTACCCCATCTTTTTTCTTTTCTTTATTATAAAGGATATGTGTGACAAAATCATTTTCTTGTGAATAATCAATTAATAGATTGTACAAACACAGTTGTACCATTTTGAGCTAAACAGCTGTAAAACTTGCATGTCGACATGTATTTCGTATGTACACTTTTGCAAATTTAGCGAAATTTTTTACTTGTACCGATAGATGCGATCGCGCGGTTTCACGCTTACAACAAAGTAACGGAGCGAAAACCC